AGTTCGGATTAGGAAGCCTAATTAGGTAGCCGCGCGGCACGGGGTTCGAACTGCCGGCATTTAAAAATGGCGCCGGCCAGCTTTATGCAAATGAAGCCCGGGAAATTCAAATCCCGGGCTTCATTTGCAATTGCGGTATGCCTATATTACCCTCCTATTTCGAATTAGGAGGGTAGTGTAGACAAACCCTCTTTTTCTTCTGGGTGAAGAAGTACTTCCAGAGTCACTGTACAGCTTCCGACTTAGGCAAGGAACAACCGACATGATCTTTTCTGCCCGCCTAATACAAGAGAAGTGTTGGGAGCAACCTCAGTGTCTGTATATGGTATTCTTCGATTTGACAAACACATTGGACTCTGTGAACCGTGAGGCCCTCTGGAAGATTCTGTGACACTTTGGCTGACCACCAGAATTTGTCAATATTATACTTCTTTTACCCGACAATATGCAAGCTGTGATACTCAACAATGGTGATACAATTGAACCTATTGACATAAGTATTGGAGTCAAACAAGGATTTGGGATAACCCCTATGTTATTTAATATCTTTTTGGCAGCCATGCTTCAGATTATTGGAGATGACCTCCAGGTGGAGTTGAAATAACCTACAGAATGAGACCACAATAACATCACTGGTAGGACTTCAATACGCTGACAATGCCCTAGTCACTGCCACCTCAGAAGATGGGCTCCAAGCAGTTGTCGACGTTTTCATCATGGCCTCCTGCAGGTTGGGACTGACTTGCAATGCACAAAAGACAAAGGCTCTCTTTAAGCCAACACCTGCCTTACTGTTATCCAAATCAACCATCACAGCAGGTGACCAAGTGCTGGAGAATGTCAGCGGCTTCCCTTATCTCAGAAGCTATCTGTCCAACAATGCTGACATCGATGATGAAATCCACCATTGAATCTCCATTGCCAGCACAGCTTCTGGACTTTTATGGAGGTGAGTTTTCAATGACGGTGACATCAAGACACAGGCCAAGATTGACATCTACAATGCCATAGTCATCCCAACATTTCTGTATGGAGCTGAAGTGTGGACTGCCTATAGACAACGTATTAAAGATCTAGAGAAATTCCATCAGAGGTGCCTGAGGAGAATATTGGGCATCATATGGCAGGACAGATGGACCAATATTAGTGTCCTTGAAGAGGCTGACTCTCACAGCATTGAGGCAATAGTCGCCCATTCGCAGCTACGTAGGCAGCTACGATTTTCTGGTCACGTGGTCAGGATGCCTGACACACACTTGCCTAAACAAATTTTCTACACTTAGCTGAGAACCAGGTCAAGGTCTCATGGTGTGCAGAAGAAGTGCTACAGAGATGTTCTTAAGACCACCTTGGTGAAGTGTGGCATTGACATTGACAAGTGGGAGAGGCAGATGAAGGATTGGGTAACCTGATGGACCATTGTCAGAATGGTGCCCAACACTTTGAGGTCAAGTGACATCTCCACGAAGAAGGTCAGAAAACCCGATGTAAGGAGTATGTCCAGGCCTGTATTGGCGTCACTGGTTTCGGCACTGCTGGAGATAGAGATCTTATATGTAGCCACTGCCAGAGAGTGTTGCTTGCCAGAATTGGCTTAATTTCTCATCTATGAACTCATCAGTTAGAGGCATCCAAGGGGAAAGCTTACTTGATTCAAGGGATCCCAGAGAGAGACTCTTAGTCTTAATCTGTTGTACTATATAATTTCCTGAGTGTTTATAACTTTTAAATGTAATATCTGAGGAGTCATCATTTTCCCTCTTCACCAGTTTACTGTCATTTAGCCAGCTTCAAGCTAGCAATGTTAAATATCAGTTAACTGCATAGTCAATTAACCTTATGAAGTCTTATCGGTTAGTCGACTATTCTGTAGTCCCCGGGGGTGGGGCCTTCATCCAGTGCATTCCGTCCTTCACTCCCGAGGAGCCATCTGCCACTCTGAGCTGCTATCTCTGTATTAGAGGCAGCAGAATGGGGTATCAGGCGGAAGCTGATCCAGGAGGGGAGCCAGTTTAAAAATTAGCTCCCCTCATGGACCGACTCCCTGTCGCACCCAGTAGCAGTGTGGGGTGGCAGCAGCTTTTGTCCGGGTGGTGGAGTGGGGTGGATTTAGCTCCCAGATCCTGTGCGAGCTGAAACTGAGCCAGGCTATCTGCCCACCTGGCTCCTAGTAAACTTTAAATCCAGAGCTGCAGTGGAGGTAGATCCTGGACCCAGCATGAGCCAGGATTGAGCTGGACTGCTGGTCAGCCTGCTAAAACATTTACTGGTTGGCGAGTGGGGAATCCGGGTGGTGGAGTGGGGTGGATTTAGCTCCCAGATCCTGTGCGAGCTGAAACTGAGCCAGGCTATCTGCCCACCTGGCTCCTAGTAAACTTTAAATCCAGAGCTGCAGTGGAGGTAGATCCTGGACCCAGCATGAGCCAGGATTGAGCTGGACTGCTGGTCAGCCTGCTAAAACATTTACTGGTTGGCGAGTGGGGAATGTGTATAGTCTATAGAGTTAACCTATTAGCTTTTGCTAATCCATTAATCTGGGGGTTCTCAAACTTTGTGATACCACGACTCCCCTCCCCCCCAAGTTGCTTGCAAGCCCCCTCTAAGTTGCTCATGACCCCCCCGGGGCGTCGGGACCCACAGTTTGAGAAACGCAGCATTAATCAATTACACTATTACATCCCTACTTCTAGCATACATATTTAAAGTGTAATATTTTACATCAAATAGTCCCAATCCTGCAAACATTTATGCTGAATTATCACAGTGAATAGTGTCAGTGAAAACAGTAAAATTAAGCATATATATAAATGTTACCAGGATTAAGGCCATAATAATGTTTCCATAGTCATTCTTCATTGACTTCTAACTTTTTATTATAGTGTTTTCTGTTGAGAAAAGGAGGAAAAGAATAGATTTTTTTGGAAAAATAAAATCAAATATTTAATATATTATAATTTTAATCTGTACATGAAGAATTGTTTAATTGGGAAATATATATTTAACTGTAGTTCGTGTGCCTGAGGGAGCTATTGATAAATAAGTATTTCCTCTATGTGTCTGTGGTACAGCAAAAACTATTGTATGAATCATGAACATGGCAGCAAAAACATTGGCTTATATAGCTAAATTTTTAGCTGGGGAAAAAACTTTTTTGGAAGTATTCGTAGATTCTGATTGCTTTGGTGAAGAGTTAGAATGGAAAGCGTAAATGGAAAGAGGGTAATCAGCACTATTTAATCATAATGGTTTTTGCAGTGTCTGTTTAACAAAAGTAACGAGTTGGCAATTCTGCTTCAGAATGCTTACCTATTCTTGATTTATTAGGCATGCTTAAATTAAATAATTTTTTTTCTTTTATGGTTTTATAGTGTAAGAAAAATGAAGATGGAGAGACAACTGTTGTTGTTGAAAAAGACCGTTTTATGGAAGACTTCTTCCAGCAGGTAAAATGAACCAAAGAACAGATAATTTCTTCCAATATTTATCAAAGTAAAATGTGTAACAATTCTTGGTAATGGTTTTTCTCGTCACTCATGATGTGTATTTATTCATAAACTTTTTAACACAGCTTTTAATACCACATTCTATAATTGTTTTTTATTTCTTTATGACCCTAAATAAACCTAAGCCTTAGTGTTTGTTATACAGGATGGAACAACGGGTACAGGAGCAAGGTGGAGTTCTCGGTGGGAGAGAAGGTACAAGAGTGGGCCGATCTAAGGGACAAAGGTGAATGAGGGAGATGGAGTGTGGGTCTGGGCATGATGGGAATGGAGGGCACTTAACCTGGCTTTGTGCCTCCTGTTGATCCCAGGTGCTTCCCCCCCATTGCTCCTATTGGCCGTGATTCCAGCCTATGGGAGAGTGGGAAAAGCCTCCAGACAAGCAGTTTCCCGCACTGCTGTTCTCCCTGCCCTTTCCCTCTTGGGAAGTCAGCACTGGCCCTCCAAACTCACAAGAGCGGTGGCAGGGCTAGAGTATCAACACAGGCTCTCTGTTCAGGAGTGGGGGAGGCAAGCTCCAAGTCCATGGTCTGTGGACAACACTTTGAGAACCACTGCTCTAGGGTTTTATAGAAGTACTTTAATTCTTGGACTATGGTCTTGAGTTTGTAAGTATGATTGTTAAAAAAAATTTCAGTTTTCCATAGAAAGTCATCAATTTTTCAATACTTAAGAGTGTACAAAAACCACTTAACTTGATGCTGCATTAAGATAATAATTCTAGCTTTTCTTTAATTGCTATTTTGTTCTCTCTTAGTTTAGTTTTACTAAAGAAGTCAAGTAATTTAAAATTGTCCAGTTATTTAAAATTCTGCAAGTTATGACACAATGGAAACCTAAGAGTGTTTGTGTTATACATCTGCTAGAGGATTTATCCAGCCTTACTTGGGGCCTTATTTGAATTTGTTTCTTTTCATTTAAATCATTGCTCTGGAGTGGGGCTGGAGATGAGGGGTTCAGTATGTAGGCTGTCCTGGGGAGAGAAGACAATCTTAGCCCTCTGTCACCACAGCAGCTTGGGGTCAGAGGAGGAGTTCCAGAGCTGGGGGAAGCATGCATGTCTCCTGGCTGGGGGACAGGCTCATGCACATGCACATGCACGCGCACGCGCGCACACACACACACACTCTCACTCTCTCTCTCTCTCTCTCTGTCTCTGTCTCTGTCTCTCTCAAATATACTGTAGAGAGCTGTCCCTTTCTCCATCTAGGCCCCTTGCTGCCCCAGTGGGTTTATAGCTGTCTCAGTCCCAATCTCTGGCTCCTTGCTGCCCCTCCGGTGATCAATGTATAATATAGCTATAATTTTTGAAAAGCCATGGTAGATGAGAGAGATTCCAGAAGACTGGAAAAGGGCAAATATAGTGCCCATCTGTAAAAATGGAAATGAGTACTACCCTGAAAAGTACAGACCAGTCATCTCATCTTCTGTGCCAGGAAAGATAATGGAGCAGATAATTAAGGAATCCATATGCATACATCTGAAAGATAATTAGGTGATAAATAACAGACAGCATGGATTTATAAAGAACAAATTATGTCAAACAAACCTGATTGCTTTCTTTGATAGTGTAACAAGCCTTGTGGATAAGGGAGAAGCAGCATTAGACAAGGTGTGCCTAGACTTTTTAGAAAAGCATTTGATACAGTCTTGCATGATCTTCTTATATTTAAACTGGGAAAATACAACCTAGATGGGTCGTCTTATAAGATAGGTTATCCAACAAGTTATGCACCCTTCTCAGAGATAAACTTAAAAAACAACAAAAGGCCTAGTAGCACTTTATAGACTAACCAAACATGTAGATAGTAACATGAGTTTTCGTGGGCACAGCCCACTTCTTCAGATGACTGGAGTTCATCTGATACCATCTACATGTTTGGTTAGTATATAAGGTGCTACCAGACCTTTTGTTGTTTTTTAAGTTTATTCTGTACAGACTAACTTAGCTACCCCCCTAAAGCTTCTTTCTCAGAGAGTATGGTTCCGGTCAAGTCAGGTTCTACAGGGATCGGTTTTGGGACCGGTTCTGTTCTAGATCTTCATCAGTGATTTAGATGATGGCATACATAGAGTGTATGCTTATAAAGTTCGAAGATGATGAAGCCTCGAGGGGCTTGCAAGTGTTGTAGAGAATAGGATTATAATTCAAACTGATCTGGAGAAACTGAAGAAATGATCTGAAGTAAACAGAATGCAGTTCAATAAGGACAAATGCAAAGTACTCCACTTAGGGAGGTACAGTTGGTTTCACACATACAGAATGGGAAGTGGTTGTTTGGGAAGGAGTACTTCAGAATGTGATCTGGGGTCATAGTGGACCACAAGCTAAATATGAGTCAGCAGTGCAAACGTCATCTGGGATGCATTAACAGGAGTATTGTGAGCAAGTATTTCTGAGTATTTCTCGTGAAATAATTTTTTTTCTACTCTACTCTATGCTGATTAGCCCTCTGCTGAACTATTGTGTCCAGTTCTGGGTACTTCATTTCAGGAAAGATGTGGAGACATTGGAGAAGGTCCAGACAAGAGAAGCAAAACTGATTAAAGGTCTAGAAAACATGATCTTAGAGGGAAAACTGAAAGAATTGGAGTTTGTTTAATTTGGAAAAGAGAAAACTGAGAGAGGACATGATAGCAACTTTCAAGTATTTAAAAGGATGTTGCAAGGAAGAGGGAGATAAATTGTTTTCCTTAACCTTTGATGATTGGAGAAGAAACAATGGGCTTAAATTGCAGCAATAAATGATTAGGATAGACATTAGGAAAAACTTATTTTCAGGATAGTTAAGCACTGGAATAAATTGTAGTTGTAAAAAGTAGTTAATGGGATCTTCATCAGACGTACCAGCTGGCTCGCTGGGAATGGGGCTGCAGGCTTCCCGGGCACATCAGCTCCCTGAGAGCTGACTGCTGCCCCACATTGCAGTATACAGCTTATACTGCAGAGTCCACAGTGTGTAACCATGTAACTGCTAAGATTTTTATTGGTTGCATGTTTACCTAATTAACCACTTTTTATTATCTCTATTCAGTACAGAGAAGTCCCAACAAACCCCAAAATAAATAAAATAACCTGGTCATGTCTGACTAAACATTCTCTGTTCTAATTTCGTATCTGTTGTTCTAAGGTTGTGTTTTTGATTAGGCATGGATAAGAACTCAGTTACTAAATGAAAATTGTGGATATATAACCAGTAACATACCCAATAATGTTATTCTCTGCTGTCAGATCAAATGGTGAATAATATAACTTTGTGCCAGTAAATATAGTGTTGTATGAGGTTAACACTGTTTTCAGCAAAGCTGAATAAACTAGGAAATAAATTATTTTATTTTTATAACCAAATATTCTTTTACCACAAGAGCTTTTTCCTTTGTGACAGACCCAAGCTGGTTACAATAGTTTGATGGTGGGCAGATATGCTGAGAACTAGGAGACTAGCTTTTTGTTTCCTGAGTGAACTGCCAGAGACTGCTGTCACACAGCCTCAGGTGCCTACCTCGATTAATTAAGAACTTACCTGAAGCAGCTGAATAATTGGACACCTGCAGCCAATTAAGATCTGTTGGGCTGCTTTAAAAACCTTCTCCCAGATAAGGGAGGTGGGAGGAAAAGAGTGAAGAACTGGGAAGGCTAACTAGTTGAAGACTGACTTGCTCAGGTACCAGAGGAAAGATACTGGGAGGGATCGTTTGGGAAAGTGGCCCAGGGAAAAAGCTGCCATACCGGGAGTTAAGGGAACCCTGTCTGTTGCCGCTGTCTTAGGGTCCCTGGTCTGGAACCTGGAGTAGTAGGTGTTCCTTTGTTTCCCCCAAACCCTCCCAATGCCACTACAGATTCTGCCCCTCACACGACAGACCAGGACTACAGAGCGGTTTTCACCCCCAACAGTGGACTAGCCTATGATGAATATGGCTCAATAAGCTGTGTCCCCTTACTTCTTAAAAAAAAGAAGAGATTGTGTGGTGGGTCACAGTGAGTCTCTGAGGCAAACTATGTTAAAGTGTGGGATCCATGAGACAGGGTTGGAGTTTTGCCACACCTTTCTCCAGTAAACAGGGCTGGCCTTAGGCCGATTCAGCAGATTCCCCAGTGATTCCCAGAGAAGCGACGCATGACCCTTGCACCAGGAGCACAGCATGTGCGCCAGGAGCTCCCGGGGGGCCATGCATGCGTTGTATTCTCAGGGCATTGCACATGTGTGGGCACACAGTGCATACATTGTGACATCCGGGACGTACAGGGCATGCGTCATGCCTTTGGCGTGCAACTCATGCGCCGTGCCGCCCGGGGCCCTGCGCATGTGCGGCCCTGCCCCCGGAATCAGGCCCCATGCTCTGTAGAGCTGGCCCTGCCAGTAAACATAGATTACAATTAATATTAGCTTCACATAGGGATGTAAATGTGTAGACAACTACATGATTTACTGATAAGCCTAGGCTTATCAGTTAATCTTGTCCATTACATGCACTTTCCCCACCACTTGAAGCAACGTAGAGTGAGCCAGTGTCCATAAAGAGCTGGCTTAAAAGCCAGTTTCCCATGAATGCCAGATCTGCTTGCCTTCTACCCCATGCTGCTGCCTCTGATAAGCAGCAGCACAGAAGGTGAGGGGGAAAGTTGGGAGCCAGTACAGCTTCCTGTGCATGTCAGCTCCATAGACCCGCCTGCCCCTCCCCGTGCTGCCTCTTACAGAGGTTGCGGGGTGGGGAGGAGGCAGAAGTCGGTGCTGGGGGGAGCTGGCCTAAAAGCTGATTCTTCCCAGTACCAGCTCCACGATGCATCTGCCACTCCATGCTGCTTCCTCTATCAGAGGTAGCAGTGTGGGTGGGGGAGACGGGGGAGCAAGCGGAGGAGCTGCCTCTGTCCTTGGAGAGCTCAGGTCCTCCGCAGACAGGGGCTGCTGCTGCCTCGCACTGCTGCCTCTGTATCAACA